GACATCGCCGTCCCCTGAGGGGGGGGGATCTGCGAAACTGTCGCCACTTTCGGGTGAGTCCGAAGGGCCCCAGCGGGGGTGCGTCTTACGCAAATCACCACGGGACCTCGCCGTCCTCTGGGGGGTCCGATCTGCGAAACTGTCGCCACGTTCGTGAGCTCCTGGGAGGCCCAGCGGGGGTGCCTCTCACGCAGATCACCATGAGACCTCGCCGTCCCCTCGGGGGCCGCGATCTTTGAATATGTCGCCACTTTCGTTGGCCCCTGGGAGGCCCAGCGGAGGTGCGTCTTGCGGTGCTGCGATCTGCGAAACGGTCGTCGCTTTCGCGGGCCTCCGGAAGGCCCAGCGGAGGCGCGTCTTACTCAGATCACCATGAGACCTCGTCGCCGTCCCCTGGGGGGCTGAGATCTGCAAACCTGTCCCCACGTTCGTGGGCTCCTGGGATCCCGAGCGGAGGCGCGTCTTACCCAGGTCACCAGACATCGCCGTCCCCTCGGGGGAGCTGTGATCTGCGAGTACGTAGCCACGTTCGTGGGCGCATGGGGGCCCCAGCGGAGGTGCGTCTTACGCAGGTCACCATGGAACCTCGCCGTCCCCTGGGGTGTCTGCGATCTGCGAAACTGTCGCCACTTTCGTGGGCTCCTGGGAGGCCCTAAGGAGGTGCGTCTTACGCAGATAACCATCAGACCTCGCCGTCCCCTGTGGGGCTGCGATCTGCGAAAATGTCGCCACGTTCATGAGCTCCTGGGGGACACAGCGGAGGTCAGTCTTACGCAGATCATCGCGAGACCTCGCCGTCCCCTGGTGTGTCTGCGATCTGCGAAACTGTCGCCACTTTCGTGAGCTCCCGGGAGCCCAGCGGAAGTGCGCCTTACGCAGACCATCATGCGACCACGCCGTCACCAGGGGGGCTCCGATCTGCGAAACTGTCGCCACTTTCGCGGGCTCCTGGGGGGCCCAGCGGAGGTGCGTCTTGCGCAGATCACCATGAAACTCCGCCGTCCTCTGGGGGGCTGCGATCTGCGAAACTGTCGCCACGTTCGCGAGCTCCTGGGAGGCCCAGCGGAGGTGAATCTTCCGCAGATCACCATGAGACCCCTGGGGGGCTGCGATCTGCGAAACTGTCGCCACTTTCGTGAGCTCCTGGGGGGCCCAGCGGAGGTGCCTCATACGCAGATCGCCGCGAGACCCCGCAGTCCCCTGGGGGGCGCGATCTGCGAAACTGTCGCCACGTTCGCGGGCTCCTGTGGGGGCCTTGCGGAGGTGCGTTTTACGCAGACCACCGCGAGACCTCGCCGTCCCCCGGGGGCTGCGATCTGCGAAAGTGACGCCACTCTTGTGGACTCCGTGGGTGGCCAGCGCAGGTGCGTCTTACGCAGATCACCATGAGACATCGCCGTCCCCTGAGGGGGGGTGATCTGCGAAACTGTCGCCACTTTCGGGTGAGTCCGAAGGGCCCCAGCGGGGGTGCGTCTTACGCAAATCACCACGGGACCTCGCCGTCCCCTGGGGGGTCCGATCTGCGAAACTGTCGCCACGTTCGTGAGCTCCTGGGAGGCCCAGCGGGGGTGCCTCTCACGCAGATCACCATGAGACCTCGCCGTCCCCTCGGGGGCCGCGATCTTTGAATATGTCGCCACTTTCGTTGGCCCCTGGGAGGCCCAGCGGAGGTGCGTCTTACGGTGCTGCGATCTGCGAAACGGTCGTCGCTTTCGCGGGCCTCCGGAAGGCCCAGCGGAGGCGCGTCTTACTCAGATCACCATGAGACCTCGTCGCCGTCCCCTGGGGGGCTGAGATCTGCAAACCTGTCCCCACGTTCGTGGGCTCCTGGGATCCCGAGCGGAGGCGCGTCTTACCCAGGTCACCAGACATCGCCGTCCCCTCGGGGGAGCTGTGATCTGCGAATACGTAGCCACGTTCGTGGGCGCATGGGGGCCCCAGCGGAGGTGCGTCTTACGCAGGTCACCATGGAACCTCGCCGTCCCCTGGGGTGTCTGCGATCTGCGAAACTGTCGCCACCTTCGTGGGCTCCTGGGAGGCCCAGCGGAGGTGCGTCGTACGCAGGTCACCACGAGACCTTGGCCTCCCCGGGGGGGGGGGGGGGGGGGGGGGGGGCGCGATCTGCGAAACTGTCGCCACTTTCGCGGGCTCCTGGGGGGCCCAGCGGAGGTGCGTCTTACGCAGATCACAATGAGACTCCGCCGTCCTCTGGGAGACTGGGTTGCGACGCTGGGGGGTCCAGCGGCGCTGCTCCCACGCATTATGTCTCCAATCGGCTTTCTCTATTGTGTTTCCACACTCCCTCGTGACCGCCTTCATGCCAACGATCTGACTCCTAAGAGCGACGCCGCAGATGTGAACAAATGACTCTGGCCCGGCATTATTTGGCGAATCGCTCAAGGGCACGGCGGATCGTTCAGTGTTCGCGTTTATACTGGGCGGTCCGATGTATAGTCGCCTCATGTGTACAAAAGGTTGGGTACGTCCCTCGGTAATTTAACGCAGCAGCTCGCAGGATGGAAGGCGGTTATTTTCAACAGAAGGTTATCCCTCGCGACTTCGCTGATTCCAAGCCCGAAACTTCAATGCACGCAGCGCTGCGCGGACCCAGTGCGGCTCTTTTTCAACATGGAGCTGTCACTTGAGACCTTCTCGGAAAGCATCACCACCTATCTAACCTAGCGCAACTGTTACACGGATGGGGGGGGGGCGGTCCGTCTTCGAAAAAAAGATCTCCCTGGACACCTCCCTGAACCGTGTGGTCATAGTTGTTCGCGTTCCGACCTGCGTGCCAGGTGCATGCAAGGCCACTCTTTTTTCACATCGAGGCCCTCGCCAACATGGCAGGCCAACCAGTGCTGGTCATTCTTGAGAAGCATTTTTTGCCGTTGGACAGAAAACTTCTAGGGCGCATGAGGAAGGAACTTGGGACGGGAGGGTGTATAGCAGCATCGATGATGCATGCTTTGAGTTCTTTGGTCCTCGTCTTCCTCCTCCTCCTCTCCCCCCCCCTCCTCCTCCTCATTCCGTCCTCCTCCTCCTCCATTTCCTACTCCTCGTTCCCATCCTCCTCCTCTCCTCCTCCTCCTCCTCCTCCTCCTTTTCCTCCTCCTCCTCCACCTCCTCATCCTCATCCTGCTTTTATTCCTCCTCCTCCGCCTCCTCCTCCTCCTTTTCATCCTCCTCCTCCTGTTCCTCCTCTTGCTCCTTTTCCTCATCCTGCTCCTCCTCCTTTTCTCCTCCTCCTCCTCCTCCTCCTCCCCCTCCTCCTCCTCCTCCTCCTCTTCCTCCTCCTCCTCTTCTTACATCACCTTCATATCCTCCTTTTCCTCCTCATCCTCCCCCTCCTCCTCTTCCTCCCCCTCCTCCCCCATTTCTTTTCCTTATAAACAATCTCCCTGTCGTACCCTGTATGACCATGAGGCTTAAACATCGACAGCAGTTTCACATGTGGAAGGCGGGCCGTATTCAAAATGTGGCTCTCACCTTAGCGTCGCGCACATTCGCTTTAAGTATGTGTAACAGCTTCACGGATTGAAAGCGGGTCGTTTTCAAAATGTCGCGCTCGCCTTGGCGCCGCGCACATTCGTTGCACAAATGCAAGAGCTTTACGGATTGAGGGCGGGTCGTTTTCAAAATATGGCTCTCGCCTTAGCGCCGAGAGCATTCCCTTTAGAAAATGGGAACAGCTTCATGTACTGAAAGCGGGTCGTTTTCAAAATGTCGCTCTCGCCTTAACGCCGCGCGAGAGCTTCACGCATTGACAGCGGGTGATTTTCAAAATGCCGCTCTCGCCTTAACGCCGCGTACATTCGTCAAGAGATTCACGGATTGAGGGGGGTCCTTTTCAAAATTGGCGTTCGCCTTAGCGCCGCGCGCACTCGTTCTTTAAATTAGCAAAAAGTTTCACGGACTCCCATGCTCAGCGTACCAGAAAACAATGTTTTAGAAGGATTTGGGATTACGAGGGCGCAACAGTTACGTTGATTCGCGGTGTTGAAGTCTCAGGAATGGCGTTCTGGTATGATTCAGGATCGTCAAGACGCAACAGTCAGGTTGATCCGTGGCGCTGGAATCCCGAGAACAGCGTTTTGCCATGATTCAGGGTCTTCAAACGGTTGTATTCCAAAGAGGCAGTTCCCGCAGTGGACATGAATCGCTGTATGGGGCCTACGAAGAGGGAGCTTGGAGGGAGGGTTTACTCCAACATCGTTGATGTCTCTTGGGCTTACACTGGTCCTCCTCCTCCTCCTCCTCCTCTTCCTCCTCCTCCTCCTCCTCCTCCTCCTTCCCCTCCTCCCCCTTCTCCTCTTCTCCTCCTCCTCCTCCTCCTCCTCCTCCCCTCCTCCCCCTCCTCCTCCCCTCCTCCTCCTCCTCCCCCCTCCCCCTCCTCCTCCTCCTCCTCCTCCTCCTCCTCCTCCTCCTCCTCCTCCTCCTCCTCCTCCTCCTCCTCCTCCTCCTCCTCCTCCTCCTCCAGGCCCCGTGCGGGAACGAGAGCGGCGCGCCTCAGGCGCCTTCCCGCTCCGCCCCGCGCGAGGGACAACTGCTGTCGTCGCCGTCGCTGCCGCTGGTCGTGCCGCTGCGGGCGTCTCGTCGTCTGTTGTGTCGTCGACACCGTCGCCGTCACGGCCGCCGCCGTGGCCGCAGCCGCCTGTGGCTGTTTGTTTCTCTACCTGGACCTCGTGCCCCCCCTTTGGGCGCGCGCAAGGCCAACCTAGAATCCTAGTCCTAAAATCCTCCTGCTCCTCCTGCTCCTCCTCCTCCTTATCCTCCTGTTCCTCTTCCTCTTCCTCTTCCTGTTCCTCCTCCTCCTCCTCCTCCTCCTCCTCCTCCTCCTCCTCCGCCTTCTCTTCTCTTCCTCCTCCTCCTCCACGCGAGACGTGCGGCCAGAAAGCAGCCCCGGCGGCAGGGTTAGCCGGACTAGTCCCGCCGAGCGGCCGCCGAGAAGCCGCCGCGGGGCCGCCGAAGGGCCGGCAGCACACGAGGGCGGGGGCGGCCGCCTGGTCCCAGCGCGCAGCTTCGGCCTCGCGCGGGCGCGGCTCCTCGAGGTGTTCCCTGCGCATCTGC